TCATGGATTCAGACTCATGTATCCTAAGCATAAAATATGGTACAGGAAGTAATATTTGAAACTATTGAGAATCTTAATAATTGAAACTAGTGGATTTATTGGTTTGAATCTTAATAATTAACTAATTCTTTTCAAAATAGTTACTATTTACCGATTAGACAACACACACAAAGACAACTTCTTCTTAAATCTGGAATTAGCATACGATTTATTTGGGAATTGAAATGCTTTTCACATTCGCTTGATGTTAGGTATTTTATTTTTGACATTTAATTATGGAGGTGATGATATTATTTATGTCGTAATTTTACTATTTATAGAAAAATCATTTTTTGAAATGTTTTAAATATAAAATAATTTGAGAGAAAATACTTAGAAAAGAGTCACCACTTAATTTTGTAAAGAAATTAAGAAAACTTAATTTAAAAAGACTAACAAATTAAGTCTTTAAAATTTAGAGAAAAGGGTAAGTGGTTCTCATTTACACTTCAAGAAGGTTTTTAAAGCATTTGAAGTGTCCGCTGACATGCGGTTATCCTACGATTTGGTTAAATATATTTTGACTATTTTTTAGAAAAATGATTAACTTGAAAAAATTAGGTAAACAAAGAACAATTTTCAATTTTTAAGAAAAGAGGATATTAATTGAAATATTTGTATTAAATTGCAAGTGATTAAGAGTTTAACAAAATTAACAATAAAAATTACAGAATTTATTTGATTCATTTTAAAATAACAATTTAAAACCAATTTGATTATTTAAATTATGAAAACCATTTTAAGATATTCAATAAAATAAGAAATTTTGTTAAAATAAACTAACATAAAGTATATAGTTAATCTTTTGAGGAATTTAATTAGGTTAATTAATAATTTTAGAGTTAATGATAAGAAAACAAACAATAAATAAAGACAATTAAATAATAAAGAAAGGGAGAGAATAATTTGGGTCTTTTGGGCCTATTGCTGCCCAGATCATTGGGCCAAAAGATGCTGATTTTTGGACCTCAAACCAATTCCTGTTTTTATATACACAAATTGTATATCAGTGTATATAGCTCATATATCAGCCTCATTTCCTGCCTTCCGAACCTGTAACAGCTCCACTTTAGCCTGTTTCAGCTTCTCATACAACCTATATTCTCTTCCCGAACTCCACATGATTTCAATTGCGAGGTTGTCTGGATAAGAAGGAGATTGTTGGATTTCAACCCGACGAAATGCAAATGGGGAGCCCCGATGGACTCATAACAGAGACAAGAAGGGTTCCCATGTAACAAAAGATAGAAGAATAAACTTTGCAGTTGTTCGAGGGGAAGCAGCATGGCTAAAATTCACTATGATCATATTATGGAATTGAATATATTTTGATCATCTCATAATTGCAACAATAAAAAATCTAACTAACTAAAATAAGTCATTATTTAAATCTTATTTAAATCAATTCATCAAAATAATACAGTTTTTAATTATTTTTTTACAAAACTAGTATAAACGTACTTCATTGTAACATTTTAGGGATATTTTATTTAAAAAATAATTAAGTTGTGTGCAATATTGTGGATCAAGAAACGTAACTCTGAGTAACGTTTTCTGCCTAATACGTAAACGTTACTCTTACTACGTTTTACACCTAAAACATTATTCATAGTAACGTTTATTAAGAATCCACGGGCCATTGATATCTGCAAATTTGGAATCAAATCTTACAAATTAGTGACCTAAAATGTTACTGTAGTAACGTTTTACACCTTAAACATTATTCACAGTGAAACAGTCAAATATTTTAACACTAGCTCAATGCTAAAGGATGTCGAATTATTGGATTTGGACATTGCAGTTGCGAGGAAGGTCGTATTAGTGGTAAACAAATTTACTCTTTTCTTTCCATCTTTAATGTAGCACCATGACATTTTGATATGGCAATCATTTACAGGATAGATGACTCAAAATTATAGTGCCAGATCCGTTCCCTTGGAGAAGAGAATACACCAATCTATTAGTAGAGAAAAAAAATCGTATTTTACCATGATGATAAAAAAGAAGGAACAAAAATATAATTTAAATTATCTATTAAATATTCATGTAAAATATAAAATTACAATCCCCTATATTTGAATTTATTAGAGTCAAAACATAAAAAGGATTATAATTGTCTTTGAACTATGCGATATAGATCATTTATACTATCCGTTACATTTTTTAGGATAAAAGATGTTCTTATCGTTATCCTAAGAGATCATAATTACCCTTAAGACTTAACAACACTAATTCCGCCACCTAGGCTTGCCAACTAGGATGCCCACAAATTTTTTTGACCCAATTAATAACTCAACCCTAACTCATTTTCGCTAAACCCAACCCACTAAAATTAAGAGCGAAATTAGTGTCATCCACATCACTTCTGTTACGTTAAGGATAATTGTGGTCTCTTAAAATAACGGCGAGACATTTTTAATCCTAAAATATAACGAAGGATATAAATAACCCGTTTCACATAATTTATGGACAATTTTGATCTGTTTTTTGGAGTCAAAATAGTCCAATTTCATATCAAATAGCGTGTGCAGGCGAGAGTGGTTGTTTATAGAGCAAAAGTGACTTTTCCTTGATAACATCATTCTCTTCTTTTCCCAAACCTTACTTACAGATTATTGTGACCAACTTTTTAAAATAAAATAAAATTGAGGCGGTACAAAAATTTCATGTTAAATACTTTTGTTCAATTTTGATAGCTACTAAAATAGTCACGTTAAATATTTTTGTTTGATTTTGATAGCTAAAAATTCGCCCGTTAAATACTTTTATTAGATTTTAATAGCTATTAAATATTTTACATCAAATACTTTTATTCGATTTTAATAGCTACTAAAATTCGCACGTCAAACAGTTTAGTTCGATTTTGGTATTTATTACTTTACTTTTATTTACTCCTATATAGAAAAGAAATACGTTTAAGTTAGGGTTACAGGCAGGAACTGAATGAAAAAAAAAAGAACCCTAAGGTAATAGATAGAATCATCTTCTTGTTCTTAGAATTCAATAGAAAATTTTGTTTGTTTTGAGAATATAATGGGGAAAGTACTCGTCATCCAATGGACAAGGAGATGATGAACATTTGGTGAAGTATGTAATGGGGAAGCCATTTCCTCGTAAACATACTGTTATGGATGTCGATGATGTTTACGGAATCGGAGTATTCAGTCCATCCACAAATCCTTGGAATCTACCAAGGGCACAAATAACAACATACGATTGTTGATCACTTTTCAGAATAGAGAAAACTGTAAAGTATTTGCTAGTAAAGAGGCCCTGGGTTTTGGAAATG